ATGGGGGACATCTTAATGAGGTGATTTATATTGCAAACAGCATGTACTACAAGTGTTTAATTAAAATTCCATTATTTAAAAATAAAATAAAATAAAACACCACCTTTTTAAAAACTGTTCATTGAGTCAATGGAGTCACCTCTGTGCCACTATGTATATCCATTTCCTATCAGGGTTTTTTCGTTTTGTTTTTTGGGTTTTTTTTTTTTTAAACGCAAATCCATTTTTAAATTCTGTTTCCTTTCTATATCCATCACTACCAGATCATTAGATATTTAACACTTCATGCCTGTTTTATATCTCTTTTTGTAAAAAGGATGAAAATCATCTTGTGATGTATATTTCCTTTTCCTCTGGCTTTACTCACCTGGAGGTTAATTTTAGGCTCAAGATTTAGTTTAAAAAAAGGAGAGAAAGAAAGAAAGAAAGAAAGAAAGAAAGAAAGAAAGAAAGAAAGAAAGAAAGAAAGAAAGAAAGAAAAAGAAAGGAAGGAAGGAAGGAAGGAAGGAAGAGAAAGAAAGAGAAAGAAAGAAAGAAAGAAAGAAAGAAAGAAAGAAAGAAAGAAAGAAAAAGAAAGAAAAAGAAAGAAAGAAAGAAAGAAAGAAAGAAAGAAAGAAAGAAAGAAAGAAAGAAAGAAAGAAAGAAAGAAAGAAGAAAGAGAGAGAGGGAGGGAGGGAGGAAGGGAGGAAGGAAGGAAAGAAGGAAGGAAGGAAGGAATCCCTCTGGTTGTATTCCCCACTCATTATGTGGGGGGCTTGTTGAACCCCAGGTCTCTCCAAGGGCTAGCTTGTATGTGCTCATCCATATATCTTTCCTGTGGCAAGAAAGGCTGTCCTCAAACCCTTTCCTTTCCAGCCCCTTAGGGACACCTGCCGCTGGGACCACCGAAGCATGTGACATATGTGGACGGGAGCCCCTCATTCCTACCATGACTGCTAATGGCCCTGTGACCCCCTGGACCCCCCTGAGAAGTTCTGCAGAGCCATGCTGGGCCACTGCTGGCAGAATCTTCAATCATGCCCCTCAGAGTTGCTGTATGTCACTGAACTGCTGCTTCATTGCGAAGTGGAGAAAACCTGTCTTCGAACCACATTTTGTTAGCTCGACTCTTCGTGTTCCTTATCTTTCCTCCGTCTCAGCAGATACTTTATATGGAAACAATTCTCTCAACCCTTGAACAGAAAAGAAGACCAGGTGTCTCTTTCCATCTGAGGTCTAGCCTGACTCAAAGACCTAGCTTCCTGAAGGTGGGGCCACCTCCCAAAAGGCAAGCATGGCAGCAAGTTCTCCCCTAATTAACCACATAGGACATGCAGTCACTTTCCCAGGGACTGGGAAGATCCTCCCCGAAGAAAGCCTTTCTCCCATTGGATGATTCCCTGAGACACCCAGCGTCGTGGTTGCAGTTATAACAGTCCTGTTTTCTGGACTTCAGAACGATGGAGATGAAGACGTTTGGCAAACAGATGTGGCCCCCTAGGTCCTGAAAGAGGTGCCTATGGGACGAGAGGTGGGCCCTGTACTTTGGAGGGTGCATGGGCGGTATCTTTGGCTATCTATTGGGGAAGACTGCCACAGAACTCCAATTCTTTTTCTGTTGGTTTTCAGTGAAGACCTGTGGAAACTTCATTGAGGTTTTACAGACACGTGAGGTAGGGGGAAAGACCGCAGCTCAGTGATGAGGGATTGGTGGATTTGTGCCCCAGGACTACTGACGGCCACACCAAACATCTATTAAATTTTGTCTGTGCCCCTAGCTCTATGACTCTTTTCACTGCCACTGATTTCTGGGTTAAATTCTGATGTAGGATGCTTGCGTTTTATTTAGTCAAGTCAAAAAATGCTTTTTTTTTTTTTTAATTAACAAGTCAGGAAACGACAGATGTTGGCGAGAATGCGGAGAAAGAGGAACCCTCCTACACTGTTGGTGGGAATGCAAGCTGGTGCAACCACTCTGGAAAACAGTATGGAGGTTCCTCAAAAAGTTGGAAATCAGAAAATGGTCTTAAGATAAAGCAATGCTGTGGCAACCCGCGGAGCTTGCTAGTTGAGATTCCAGGCTAGCCATTCTTCCAGAAAACATATGAGTCCAGTTAGATATGGTTTTGGGCCCAAGTATCTACTTCAGATTGCCTTCCTATGTGTATGTTTTTTCCTTCCTTAAGACTCAAGTTTCTCTTCTCTTTCAGAGTAGTTTTTCTTGCCAGTTTTCACCTTTTCTGAGTTTCAATCTCCTAATTCCAAGATGTACTGCCACTGAGCTTAGTGTTAATTTCCCTATTTATCTCCCATCTGCCTCTGAGAGAAGAAACGAGAACATTAGAACAGCGTTAACTTCTGTCATATGAGGAAATCATATAGGGGGTAATAGAACCAAGAGATACTGGGATGCCAAAATGATTGAAAAATCTCATATACATTCATATTATTGATCATGCTAAGAAGTTCAGGCTCTATTTGGAAGCCTGTGTGATCCTCCTCCAGGTCTGTTTTCAGACACAGTATTGACAGCTTTGTATTTAAGAAAGATTATTCCAGAAGCTGGGTGGAGGGTAAATTGGGACAAACTAAGTTTGAAAACAGTGAGTCTAGGTAAGAGTAACTAAGGCAAGAAACCATCAGAGCATACATTATGGTTTCTTGTGAATCTCTATTTTTTTCAGGTAGAAGTTTTCTTAAAGAAGAGCAAAGGGAAATTTTGTCTCTTATATTTCTCCTGTTTCAACACAGATTTAATATTCTAATGTATCTATAAAAAACGAGAACAAAAATAAATTAAAAATATTTGGTTGTCATATACCAAGCTGACTTTCTGTTTAAATCCTCTGGTATTCTGGTTTCAAAAGAATTTTATCTACTTTTTATATCTTTTGCCAGTTCACAATTGTCTGACTCCTTTTGGTAGGTATCAGTAGTTTTCTCCATTTACGTATTTTAATTTAAAAAAATTGAGATATAATTGGCATTTAACGTTGCATAAGTTTAAAGGGTGCATGTTGATGTTCTGGGCTCGTATACTGCACTATGATTCCTGTCACAGTGTCGTCATCACGTCATTGTGGAGTTCCGTCTCCAACAACGTCACCTGCAGGCGTTTTCCTACAGTGGAGGCAAGTCTCAGAATTCTGCCCCATGTGCAAACGTTTATGAGTAAGCAGGCACAGAAAACATTATCAAAGCTGTTCTTAGAAGCTCATGCAAGTCCCAACTCTATTCTTTCTTCTTTATTATTGAAGTATAATTGACATACAATGTTATGTTGGTTTGGGGTGCACAACATGGTGATTCGACAATTGTATATGTTACGCAGTGTTCACCATGATAAGTGTAGCTGTCTTCTGTCGCCGTGCCCCGTTATGAAAATATTATTGATTCTATTGATTCTATTTCCTGTGCTGTGCTTTTCATTCCCATGACTTATAACTGCAAGTTGGTGTCTCCTAATCCCCTTCACCCAAATCTCTGTACTTTCAGCTCTCTGATTAGAAGGAATAAAAGTCTCCATCAAAGATAAGATGTAATAATTCTCCCTGGTAGAGAAGCAAATGCGGTGCTGGAGATCAGGTGATGGATCTCTGCTAAGGGTGAGCACAGGACCGGACACATCATGGACCCACTGTGCCCTCCCAGCTTTAGAGGTGACTTGGCTCACTGTCTTATTTTATCACTTCAGGGGAGAGTTTAGGTGTATTTCTAGCCAATCCACATATCTTGGTCACCGGGTTTTTCAGTCCCCCCTCACTCCCCACGAATTCTAATGTTCTGTATGCCACTGGTTCTCAACTGGGGCAATTTTACTCCCTCTCCTCCCCTGCAGGGACATTTGGCAATTTCCAGAGACATTTTGGTGATCATGACAGGGAGAGGGGCTTGTGCTGCTGACACCTAGTGGACAGAGGCCCGCATTGCTGCTAAACATCCAACAACGCACAGGAAAGCTTCCCACCTTTCACCCCCAGCAAAGAATTACCTGGTCCAAGCGTCAGTTTCTCGAGAAGACCTGCTCTGTGCTAATGAATGAACCCAATGGTGCGGGTACAGATATGCGTATCTGAAGCTCTTGCCAGACCTGCTGTTGGATGTAGACCACTGCTGAGTCTTTCAAATGTCACCAAACCACTCCTAGAGTCTGATTTCTAGATTTGTATACAACCATTAACTAATCCTCTTTGGTACAGGTTAAGGTGAATTTGCACACACAGACATAGTGCGTGGCTCTAAGCTGTTATATTTTCTTTTTTTTTTTTTTAAAGATTTTATTTATTTATTTGACAGAGAGATAGAGAGACAGCACAAGTAGGCAGAGTGGCAGGCAGAGGGAGAGGGAGAAGCAGGCTTCCCGCTGAGCAGGGAGCCTGATGCGGGGCTCGATCCCAGGACCCTGGGACCATGACCTGAGCCTCCCAGGTGTCCCAAGACACCCTTTAAATGGTCTTATTCTTACCCACAGAGGGGACCATTTTGTCACAACTCATTTTTTATGCCTTCAACATTTCATCTCGAACAATAAAAATGCCTACCTACCTAAGTTGTTTCTAATTTGCTATTATAATAAATATTCCAATGAATCTTTGTACATAATGTTTTAATATTCAGAATATTTTCCTTATGCTCTATGGTGAAAGGCAGCTGTAAACAGACTCAAGAGTCTCAATAAAAATTGCCAAAATGCCACTCGGAGGAGTTTGTACCAAATTAAATGTCCAAATAGCAAAATTATTTGCTTAGCTTAACAGAATAGGTGATAATGTAAGATATCATAATTACTGATAAGTATTTGCAAATTAGACAGGATCACTTTACAGTTTGCAAAGCAACCCACATACATATTTCACTTAATGGACCTCATTTCAAAGCTCTTGAGCTATGTGTTATTTGAATGCAGGGGGATTCTACTGTACTTGATTCATCAGCAAACAAGCAAACCCACTGAAAACATGGATCAGGAGACCGGACAGTGGTGGCTGAGTTCTGTTTCTCTGATTTTCCTCAGTTTGAGAATGGCAGCCTCTTATGTGTTCATTATTGTTGGAAATTTCACGATCTTCTCTGCTGTCCAGCTGGACACCCGTCTCCACAATCCCATGTACAACTTCATCAGCATCTTCTCCTTCCTGGAGATCTGGTACACCACAGCGGCCATCCCCAAGACGCTCTCCAACCTCATCAGTGAGAAGAAGACCATCTCCATTACTGGCTGCCTCCTGCAGATGTATTTTTTCCACTCGCTTGGGGTCACAGAAGCCCTAGTCCTCACGGTGATGGCCATCGACAGGTACATTGCCCTCTGCAACCCCCTCCGCTATGCAATCATTATGACCCCTCGGCCGTGCGTCCAGCTATCCTCTGGCTCTTGCGTCTTTGGCCTCCTTATTCTGCTGCCAGAGATTGTGTGGATTTCTACTCTTCCCTTCTGTGGCCCCAACCAAATCCATCGACTCTTCTGTGACTTTGAACCCGTGCTGCGGTTGGCCTGGACAGACACGTCCATGATTCTGGTTGAAGACTTGATCCATGCTATTTCCATCCTGACTTCTGTGTCTATCATCAGCCTTTCATATTTAAGAATCATCACCGTGATCCTGAAGATTCCCTCCGGGGAGAGCCGTCAGAAGGCGTTCTCCACCTGTGCAGCCCACATTGCTATTTTCTTGCTGTTTTTTGGCAGTGTGGCCCTCATGTACCTGCGTTTCTCTGTCACATTCCCACCTCTCCTGGACAAGGCCACCGCCCTGATGTTTGCTGTCCTCGCCCCACTGTTCAACCCGATAATCTACAGTCTGAGGAACAAAGATATGAAAGATGCCATCAGGAGAGTTCTCTGTTTTCAATAAAGGTTCAATGTCTCTGGTAGTCAATGAGACTTCACATACATCTGCTCAAAGGAATATCTCTGTAAGTTTAAAATGCTAACAAATCAGTTTCTGAAATTACTATGTACACTTTTCATGTTGCTGTTTGGGTATTTTTTCCCAACTTTCTCAACTAAGAACTATTGTTTGATCTGATGGGGGAGGTCTTCTGTGATTCACCCATCTTGATATCATTTACAGATTATAATAGGATATTTTTCCCCTTTGTAGCTCCACATAGGGTGGTATTCTCTTCTCCAAATCAATGGAAAACACCAGGCTGAACAATTATCATACTTATTTCTTACACATTGAAACACTCTCCTTTCTTGCTCTTTTATTTTATATCCACAATACACTTATATCAGGTTTTTTTTTTTTTTTCAGTTTAAAAAATTAACAAGCTGTGCAGCGGTGAGGTAGTTTTAGCCTGCACTAGGAGCTCTGATTGCTAACATTCATCCCAGATCATGGTCTGACACGTGACTGTGACAATGCAGCCACTGGCTTTGTGACGTCTGTGTCATCCTGCCATCATCAACGCCATTGTGGTTATGTTTCACATTTTCTTTTTTCTTTTTTTTTTTTAAAGATTTTATTTATTTATTTATTCATAAGAGACAGAGAGAGAGAGAGGCAGGCTCCCCGCTGAGCAGGGAGCCCGATGCGGGACTCGATCCCAGGACGCCGGGATCATGACCTGAGCCGAAGGCAGATGCTTAACCATCTGAGCCACCCAGGCACCCGTCACATTTTCTTAAAAATTCCAGAGCGGACACTTTTGGAAACTGAAAGATTAAATAGATGAAATATATAGGCCTGGGACCAAAGCAAAAAACGCATAAATTATGTAAAGACATATACATGCCCATTTTTAAAATTAACATCACTATATTAAAATGCTCTGTTTGGGGCGCCTGGGTGGCTCAGTCGTTAAGCGTCTAATAGATTTTATCATTTATTAGAGATGTTTGACAAATATTTGGTCTGATTTATAAACTTGTCAGTTAAATCCTTTTAAACTACATTTAAATATGATATACACTCTTTTGTTTTTAAGCACCTTAATTTTCTGACTTAAAGCCTTCACAGGTTTTAAAAACAACCTTTATAATATAAAGAGAATAAACAAAAAAATTACGAATATGCCTAATCCCATATCCTTTTAAATGTTTCCATACTGTGATAGACATGGTAAAATTTCAATTTTAAATAACAAGCCTAATATTTTGAATTTCATTAACTATAAATTTTACCTCAGTGAAGTTGATTTTAAAAAAATATTAATGATTTGCTCTATTACAAATTTAAAATTAGAATTACAAGTTAGATTTGGTATTCTAATAGATCAAACTGTCTTAAATAATGCAAATACATAAAATATAAATATATATAAATTCCTTAGAGCAAAATATAAATAACATGTTTTGATTCTATTACACATTTATATAGTTAGCTCTAAAATCTTGCTGAGTTTAAAAGATGCTAAACCACTACAGAAATTATTATGTGACCCATTTCTGAAACAAATACCGAGGCTACTACAACCGAGAAAAATTTCCTGCCTTTATGTATCTAACACTATGGTGAGGGGAGATATTTTTTAAAATACACATTCATAATAAACCAGAAAACGAACAAATTACATGAAACTGTTCTGTGGGAAATAGAAAAGAAAACGTTGCAGGAAAAGGGGTTCTGGAAGGAGTAAGGAGATCATAATCTTAAGTCAAGTGGTCATGTTGGACCTCATTTAGAAGGTCACATATGGACAAGGGTTTGGACAAGGAGTTAGTCATATGGACATGTGGAGGGAGAATAGTCCAGGCAGCAGGAAAAGCTAGTGAGAGAGCCCCGAGGTGGGCAAGCACTGGCTTGTTCAAGGACTCAAGGAGGCCACTGTGGTTGAAAGGGATTGGAGGTGGAGTTAGACCACTGCAAGATGAGTGCAAGGATCCTAAAGGGCCCTGAAGGCCAATGTAAGGCTTTATATTTTCCTAACTTACTCTGAGAATGGGGACCATCGAGAGTTTGGAGCATAAGAAGGTTATTATCTGATTTGAATTTTAAAAGAACCATGCTTGTTTCCTTTTGAGAAGACAAAGAAGGGAGGCGGGGGGAAGCTGGGGTCCTCAGGAGGCTATTGTAATAATCCTGGGAGAGATGATGGTGGCTCAGGTCAGAATGGTAACAATGGAGGTGAAGAAATGTGGGTCAGTTCTAGATGTAATTTGACAACAGAGCTAACAGGGTTTTCTGACAGATTGAGAATGAAGTGTGAAAGAGAAGAGTCAAAGATGACCAGCTGGAAGGGTGGAGTTGCCACTAACTGACACGAGGAGACTTCAAGAAGGTTATGTTGGGAGGAGAAAAATCAGAAGTTTAGTTTTGCACATTTTAAGCGTAAGTGGACTATTACACATCTAAAATATTGACCAAGTGGGTACATGAGTTAGACATTTGGGAGTGGAGCCCAGGAGGAAGATGTACAGGGCAAGCATCAGCAAATATGTATTTGAAGGCACAAGACTGGAGAAAACCAGCCAAGGTATGAGTTTTGGGGTACTGTACTGTTACGGATTTGGGGAAAATAGGAAGAATCAGAAAATGTGACTCAGAAGGAGTGACCAACGAGATAGAAAAAAAATCCCAAGTGTCCCGAAAGCCAAATGAACACAATAAATAAAGGAGGAAGAAGTGGTGAACTCTGCCAAATCCTGCAAATAGTCAAGTAAGATGGAGTCTGAAAATTGACCACCTGGAGGCCAGTATTGAACTCAGTGAGAGAAATGTGCATGAAGTGTTGCAGGCAAAAGCCTGACTTGAGTAATTTCATAGGAAAGGATCAAAGGGAAGTTGGAAATTCCAAGTACAGACAATTCTTTCATGGACTTTTACTACCGATGAAAGTAGAGAAATGAGGTATTAAGGAGCAAGCGGGATCACTAATATATGTTAACTGTGATTCACAATAAAGAATATATTTTAAATCATAATATAGGACCCATATGCGTACGTATTAATTCCTGTATTTGTAACAAACACATCTTATAAAACAAAACTTACAATTACTCCATGTGGTGTTTCTTATCTTTTGTATTCTTTTTTTCTCCCTTATTCTATTTTGTTAAAAACATTGGAACTGATTCCACCACTCACTAAAGGGTTGTGACTCTAAGTATGAACACACAAAGAACTTTAACTTAATGAGTCTTTAGCTCTAATTACCTTTGGATGAAAATTTAACAGGCCATTTCTATTTTTTTAAAGACTTATTTATTCATTTTAGAGAGGGGGGTGAAGGGCAGAGAGAGAGAGAGAGAGGATCTCAAGCAGACTCCATGCTGAGGGTGAAATCCCACATGGGGCTTGATCTCAAGACCCTGAGATCAAGGCCTGAGCCAAAACCAAGAGACGAATGCTTAATGGATTGAGCCACTCATGTGCCCCAGGCTGCTTCTATTTTTGTCTTTGTATTTACCTATCGTTTCTAATGTATTTATAATAAAGTATTGCATTTTATTAAAAACCAAGTTTTATCTTTAAAAATGATAGTTTAAATGTGTTGAAGAAAATACACACTCTCCGACAGCACTGATGAGATGTCGAAGTGGCACCATCTTTTCTAAAGTGATTTAACAAAATGTGTCAAAAGAATTAATAAAAGTGCATATCTATTTAGAAGTAGGGCCAGAGAAGTCTTCTTTGATGTAGCAGCATTTAAGTTGACACTTGAAGACTAAAAAGGAATCAGCCAGGAAAGTATGAAAGAGAAATCATTTGTGCAAATGCCCTGAGGTGATAAGCAGCCCAGGGCACTAAAGGAACCAAGCACAGATGTGTGGATGGGAGACAGTAAGAGTCATGGGATGAAGGCTAGAGGCAAGATATGCAGAACCTTGGAGGTCATGTTGTGGGATATTGGAATTTATCCCAATTGCCAAGTGAGGACATTGGAGAGATTTAAGTAAGCAACTATATTCTTAGAATAACATTTTATTGTTGTACCCACAGTGGATCAGAGTGGAACATAAGTAGGGTGGAAAGAATGGTTTAAGAGACCATATCCATTATCTTTCACTAAAGAAAATACCTTCCCCAAAATTAGCGACTTAAAACAGAAACTATTTGTCTCGTAATTTATGGGTTAACAATTTGGGCTGGAATCAAGTAGGTGGTTCTTCTTGTCCGGGTTCACTCGTGTATCCAGGGTCCGAAGCTAGTTGAACCAGTCTGGTATTAACTAAGAGTGTTGTACTCTCTTCCCTCTGTTCCTTCCCCTTCCACAGGCTAGTCTCTGTTGTTCATACAGTGCCTGGTATGGGCACTGAGACAGAGCCTAGGTATGTAGGGCTTCTTGAGCACCAGGTTCAGAACTGGCACATGATGCCTTCCGTTGTATTCAGTGGCTAAATCATATCAGGAGAGGGACTCAGAGGAGGGAAAGAGACTCCACTTCTTGATGGGGAGAGCTGCCAAATCACCTTGTAAGGGGCTAGGATACAGGGAAGAGTTAGGATTGTGCCGTTTCCTTTGCAATAGAGATTATTGGTGTCCTCCCGTTGTGCTGAAATCTTCAATGGAACCACTGGAACTAATCACATATATGGGCTCAAAGAGTGGGGTAATAAATGGTTTGTATTTGGAACTGGTGGTAAAGGAATATATATATATATATATATGTTGTAATATATATATATATATATATGTAATATTCCACTAGATATCTACTCAGCCATGAAAAAGGAAATTCTACCATTTGCCACAACATGGATGGACCTTAAGGACATTATGCTAAGTAAAATAAGTCAAACAGAGAAAGACAAATATTATATGATTTCACTTTTATGTGGAATTTTTAAAAGCAAAACTCATAGAAAAAGATTTGACTCCAGTAGAGGTGATGGGGAACTGGAGGAAGGTGGTAAAAAGGTACAAACTTCCAGTTATAACATAAATAAGTCCTAGAGATTTAATGACAT